TATGTTCAATTTGTAACAATGAAAATACATCCTGCATATCAGATATTTACATGACGATTCATAACAGTAGCAACATTACAGTTATGAAGTAGCAACGAAAATAATTTTATGGTTGGGGGTCACCACAACATGAGGAGCTGTATTAAAGGGTCGTGGCATGAGGAAGGTTGAGAACCACTGGACTAGATGAAGGCAGATAAAGCCCCAGGGAAGAGGCAGCCCCACTCGGAACTCCGTGGCTTCCCATCCTACCTCCTTCAGCTGGGCATTGTCTTTGCCGGTCTGGAAGTTCTGGCTAAGCTCATCCACTTCTTTTTCAAAGAGTGAGCGCACTTCACTGAATCCTGAGCTCACCGGGCCCATGAGCTCCTCCAGAATGGACGCCAGGAATGGCTGCACGCTCTCCGCACAGCTTTTCTCCGCGGGCTGGGCCACCATCGCTGCGGTAGGAAATATCCAGGAAACCGAGACTTAGGGCGAAAGTGGATTCAAAGGCACTCGACCCAGGCCAGGGCTGGATGGTTGCCCCATAGAGCCATTGAACCGCCAAAGCAAGCTCACAGGCAGGACAGACCAGCACAGCGAGGCCTGGGCCGCATTCACCAGAATAGAAAACCATTAGGTGGTTTGCAAATGGAAACAGACAGAATGTCTCCCCTCCCCCAAGCTTTCCTCTGCCCTGGGATGAAATGCGTTTTTCTGCTCGGTCCCTAGGATAAGCATGCAGTGTCTAATACAAAAAAGAATATGCCAGACATCGTCAATCATTGTCATTATATACAGGGGTGGGCAAAAGTAGGTGTACAGTTGTTCATATGGAAAAATACATAATGCAAGAGTAAATAATAATAATACAAAACAAACTGTGTTTCTCACACTCACAACTGTACACCTACTTTTGCCCACCCATGTATACATAGTTTCCTTCTAAAATCAAAATTTATTAAGGTTTGTTAAAAATTGACGTATGACATATAACATTATATTAGTTTCAGGTGTACAACAATTTATAGTTTTAATTAATTTCTCTAAGAGTCAATCAATATAATATAATTCAATTCCCCTCTTGCCTTCTCCAGAGACTTTTAAAAACTCAAGTACAGTCCTTTCTAGGGCAAATGGAAATAAATTCCTTTCAGTTTGTCCCCCCCCCACATCCCATTCCCACCCCCAATTTTTAAAAAAGCATTATTTTTTTGTTCTGATAATCAAGTACAACGTATGCAGTGACAAAAATGTAGAGAGCACAGAAAATCCAAGAGGGATGGGAAACCCAGCCGGTGTGGTTCAGTGGTTGAGCATTGGCCTATGAACCAGGAGGTCACAATTGATTTCCGGTCAGGGCACATGCCCGGATTGTGGGCTCGATCCCCAGTGAGGGGTATGCAGGAGGCAATGGATTAGTAATTCTCTCTCATTATTGATGTTTCTATCTCTCTCTCCCTCTTCCTCTCTGAAATCAATAAAAATATACTTAAAAATAGAAAGAAAGAAAGGAAGGAAAGAAAGGAAAGAAGGAAAGGAAGAAAGATGGAAAAACTATAACCATGCTCTCACTTCCCAGAGGCAAAGGCTGCCCTTTGATTTAGACGAGGAAGAGCATAGTAACCATTCTGCTTTAGGAAGTCTGGCTGGGCCATGAAGATCTGTACTATTATTATTATTTGTTGTTGTTGCTAAGGGCTAAGGCAGTGGTCAGCAAACTGCGGCTCGTGAGCCACATGCGGCTCTTTGGCCCTTGAGTGTGGCTCTTCCACAAAATACCATGTGCGGTCGCGCGCTCGCGAGCCGCAGTTTGCCGACCAGGGGGCTAAGGTAATTCTCATGTTTGGCCAGGTTGGAATCAGCGATCCCGTGAAGGAAACCTGAGCTGGAAGAGGCCTGAACTCGCTCCATAGACTGGAACGCTAGCTCTGAGGAGCTAGGTAAGTCACATGGCCTTGTCATTACATCACGGAACTGAAGAGGGAAGTACACACTCATCTGAATGGCCAATCCTCCATTTTACATATGGAAAAATAGAGGCCTGAATATATGAGATGGCTTGACCAAGGTCACGTCCTAATATGCAGAAACAGAACTTCAAGTCTATTTCTTATTGGCACATAACTTGCTTGCAGGTTATGTGCCAATAATGGTCACACTCTTATTTCAATTCTCAGAACTAGTTCACAGAAGTATGGAGGGTCATACTGCCTCTTTTTCTGAGAATCTAAGATGACCAATACTATTAATATTATGTATAACTTGTAAATATTTGGGATATGAAATATTAAGCAGGTCATAGAATTACTAGGGGGAAAAGAACTTTCACCCCAATGGCATGATTCAAATATAAAACAATCTATGATTTCTAAAAATGACTTGCACCCAGCTGGTGTGGCTCAGTGGTTGAGCGTCAACCTATGAACCAGGAAGTCACGGTTTGATTCCCGGTCAGGGCACATGCCTGAGTTGTGGACTTGATCACCAGTAGGGGCACACTTGATCACACAGGAGGCAGCTGATCAATGATTCTCCCTCATCATTAATGTCTCTCTCTCTCTGTCCCCCTCTCTCTTCCTCTCTGAAATCAATGCAAATATATTTCAAAAAATAAAATAAAAATGACTTGCTTGATACCCAAATGCAACTTTGTCTGCTAGGAGAATAATGATTTCTTTATCAATTAACTTTGAGAGAAGACATATAATACATGTCATGGAAATTTCAGAATGATCATGAACATGGGTCATAAGCCAAGAAATGCCCCAACAGGAGAGGTGCAGGTGGTATCAGAATACACAGCCCCCTCCGCCTCCCACGAGGCAAGACGCCAAGTTTCCTCCTGCTGGTTTCACTGAAGTTTCCATGGGGAGGGCCAGGCCCTTAACAGCACCTCTAAGCAGGCTCCTATTTACAACCCTTACCACTTCTTCCCCATCCCCTTGTTTTAATTCTCCTCTGAAACCATGACTTCTAACTATTCAAATATAAAACAATCTATGGTTTCTAAAAATGACTTGCACCCAGCTGGTGTGGCTCAGTGGTTGAGCGTTAACCTATGAACGAGGAAGTCACGGTTTGATTCCCGGTCAGGATGCAATGCGGGTGCGATGCAACCCGCAATGCACAGCTTATTTCCTTGGTAGGAACGTGGATAATGTCCACTGACCTTTGATCTTCCCAGTTAGGAAGTTCTTTGAGTTGACGATCTGATCCATGTCT